TTATGGTGCAGAGATATATGTGTGAGTACACACACACACAAAAAAAAAAACAGTTTTGTCTGGTTTAATTATATCTGCATATTCCTAGATTGTAAAACTAAATATCAGATATTTTATTTTTCTTGTATTCTTGACATCTTTTAGCAAACGACTCAGCAAGCACAAGAACAACAGCATCATCAACAACTACAGCAAAACCCAAATCAGAAGGATCTATATCAAGCGCAACAACTACTACAAAGACAACAGCAGTTGTAACAACATCACCCTCAACAACAGTCATCAACAGTAAAACAACTATAACAACAACCAAAACTAAATCACCCATGAGAACAACCTTTACTAAATCAGTTACAACAACAACCACAGTTGTTGAATCCCCAACGACAAAAAATACAACTACATCGATTGTAATAAGAACCAAAGCTATATCCCTGGGGACAAGAACAACAACTACATCAAATACAACAGTGACCACAATTAAATCACCTACGAAAACAACCACATTTAATTCAACTACAACAATAACCTCAACAAAATCACACACAACAAGAAACACAACAGAATCAACTACAGCAACAACTACAATTAAATCTGCTCGAGCAGCTCAAGAATCCCCAAATGCAGGTCAGTACAGTTTTTCAAATCCTGTCAACATACTGAGCTCTGGTTCATAATAATGTCATGTTTCATTGTTTCAATTATGAACTTTACAGTTCAGTCCAACATCATGCTGATCGTTGTAGCCGGTGGGTTTGCAGTACTCTTTATAATGATGGCAATCGTCATATGGAAAATAAGTAAACGTAAGAATGGTATATTTACAATTTATAAACAAAAATTTTTCACAAGTCAGTCAGTATTGAACTGAAATGTGTCCTTTTCTATGTTTTTAGTGAAAAAATCACAGACAAGTGGCAACATTGTGAGTTTTCAAATTAAATAATTAGGGTTTTAAAGAATAATGACAACTTTTGTGAATTCTTTTATTTTCTCTATCCATCATTTTCAGTAATAAACTCAAACTAAACTTTGTTTGTCCAGGAAATGAGAACAGACAACTGCCATGTACCAGGAACCAGCCAAGAAAGGGTGAGATTATGCACCAGTGCAAATTCATACTTGTTTTATATTTTATGAGTACAAGTATTTTTTTACTTGGGTGACAGAGCACATGTATTTCTTTCTGTAAGTGTGTTTATTTGTTACATTTCTTACTCTTATCTCACAGGTTCACAGTAAACGTCAGGAAGGTGATGTGGCGACCAACAGGAGAGTCAGAGTTTCCTACGCCTCTTCTGCAGCTTCCAGTGATAGCAGCAGCATCTACGCCACCATGAAAAGAATCTAATGGTCCAGAATTCAAATGAAAAAAACTAGTAAATGAAATTTACATTAAGCGAGATTTTCTGCATATCTGCTATGTTTTTTACACAACAGTTATATATTCCAGATATTTTGACCCCTGTTTTTTCAGTGTTTTTTTCCTATCTTACATTACATAAATACCATACATACATATCGTTTGATAATCAGTCTTTAGCTTTTCATATTCACATCTTAACATTTGCACTGACCTTTTTCATATTTAAGCATTCATAATTATTTGTTATAGTTACAAGTATTAGTAGTATTACATAGTAAGATTCAATTTTCAGAAGTATATATTATTTAATATTTAGTAATAGTCAATATCATGCCTGAAATTTATTATATAACCTTCATAATTTCTTTATTGTCTAGTTTTATCTAATTAACAATCTAAAAGTACATTTTCATTTCCATTAAAATGTGGTTAATTCTTTTTTTAAACATCAACCAAAATGTTTTTTTAATTTATTTTATATTTTTCAGATTTACGAATAGATTAAATACAGTAATAGTAGTAGCTGTAATACTGTGACATCAAGAGTTACGACCAACATAATCTTAATGAAGTATACATTTGTAAAATTTCTTTGAGGTATTGCAGTATATTGTATTTTTTAATAGTAGTAGTATGCAGTTATATACAATCAATATGCGAATGCTTTCAGGTGCATCTTTTTATTTTTAAGATTAATTCACATAGTTGCCATTTAATCTCACTTTGTCACAGGTTTATGCTGTGACTTTTGTACATGAAGTCATAATCTCTCAATATTAATCAATAATGTTTTGTGGATGATTTGTTTATTTTTATTTGTTAAAACAAAAACATAAACTGTGTTTTTGGTTATGATGTTCTTTCTGAGTTTAATAAAGCATTTTAATGATCAGGGTTTTTTTTTTTTCAAATAAACACAGATATTGAAATCAATGATTTTCACATACAAGGTCTTGAATAATCAGGCCCAATCTAAATACCTCATAGAATCTTAGAACCCAGTAGACCGCTTCACTCTAAAACTGCAGGCTTCTTGTGGGTCTTAGAGTATTTAAAATTAGAATGGGTGGCAAAGCCTTCATCCTTCAGGCTCCTCTTCCGTGGAACTAGCTTTCAATTTGATTTTGGAGGCAAAAACTATCTCTGCTTTTAAGATTAGGCTTAAAACTTTCCTTTTTGACAAAGCATGTAGTTAGGGCTGGATCAGGTGACCCTGAATCCTCCCTTTGTTATGTTGGAATAGGTGTAGGCTGCTGGGGGATTCCCGTAATGCAATGAATATTTCTTCTTCAGTCACCTTTTCCACTCATTATGTGTTGATACACCTCTCTGTATTTAATCATTGGTTATTATTAATCTCTGCTTTCTTCCACAACATGTCTTTTGTCCTATCTTCTTCTCATGAGCCCAACCAGTTACAGCATAGCCTGGTTCTGCTGGAGGCTTCTTCCTGTGTCTACAGAGAATAAATGTCATATTTTTTGTAATAATGTGGAAGAGGGAATAACAAGCAGATATATTTCATTATAAAATCTTTAACAGTATATGCTCCGCTAGATTTAGTCAATAAATTTTATAAAGAGACCGTATAGATCTGACTGATCTGATGCTGAAATAATAATCACTGCAATACGCAAAATAAGTTCAGAACCAAACTGTAATCACAAAATCAAGATAGAACACACGTTGTTCTGGGTGAACAATGTTAACAATTCAATACTCAATTCAGTTTCACACAGCTGCATTTATATGTTGCCAACTCCTTTTATATATTATGTAACAAAGTTTGGATATAACACAGTTT